GTCTGGCCTTGTATTTATTGATAGAGCAATCCGCATTAAGCTTTATTCTAAAAACCCATTTAACTCCAATAACTTTTCTATCTTGAGGCTTGTCAACCAGCTCCCATGTGTTGTTTTTTTGAATCATCGAAATCTCATCTTCCATTGCCTTTTTCCATTTTGGATCCTTGAGTGCTTCCTCATAGCAACTAGGTTTACATACTGCTACATTGCATATTTGATAAATGTCTGACATCAGCCTTGTGCCTCTAATAGGAGGGTCATCTTCTAGTTCATCCTGACACAACTTTGTTGTTTGGTTTCCGCCATAATCATCTTCAATATTGTTAAAAAATCCAATTATCTTTTATGGGTTTTTCCAATTCCATTGTTGATCTTCATTGAAATGTACATCCCTAGAAATAGTCAACTTTCTAGTTTGAGGATGATATACTTTGTAGGCTTTTGAAACAGAACTATAACCCTTAAAAATACCCGGAATTGCTTTCTTGTCAAGCTTGTCGCGCTTAACCTGTGGAACATGTGCAAAAAAAAACACAACCAAACACTTTAAGAAAGGTTAGTGAAGACTTATATCCATACCAAGCCTCAAAAGGAGTTTTGTCTTTCAAAGCCTTGGATGGAAGTCAATTTTGAAGAAAAACAGTTGTGTTTGCCGCTTCGGCCCAAAATTATTTAGGCAATACCTTCTCATGCAGCATGCATCTGGCCATCTCCATTACTGATTTATTTCTCCTTTCACTAACTCCATTTTGCGCTGGAGTGTATGGGGTTATGAGTTGATGTACAATACCAGCTTCTTCACAAAATAGATTAAATTGTGTTGAGGTGTACTCCTTCCCATTATATGATCTTAGAAATTGTATCTTGCAACCACTTTGAGTTTCCACCATATTCTTGAACTTTCCAAAGACTCCAGCCACTTCATGCTTGAATTTCAAGAAAAAAATCCAGCACATTTTTGTAAAATCATCTATGAAAAGAATAAAATATAGACTACCTTGTAACGATGGAGTTCTTTGAGGTCCTTCCACATCAGTGTGAATGAGTTGCAGCTTTTGAGAGGCTCTCCAAACTGTTTTGGGAAATGACGTTCTGTTTTGTTTACCAAATTGACAGGCATTACAATTTGGCAAATGATCGGAAAGAACTGGTAGACCTTTAATCATATCTTTCCTCTTCATGTTTAGCATCCTTTGAATATGACAGTGACCAAGTCGCTTATGCCAGAGTTCAGTGAGACTGACTTGAGTGATGTAAGCTGTCTGCTCCTCCATAATTGGATCAAATGAGAAGCTTTTACCTCTCATTTTTACTCTTAAAATCTCCCGACCGGTAGTGTCAAAGATAAGACAATGTTGATTTTCGAAAAGAACTTTAAATCCCTTTTCTAACAATTGACCCACACTAAGCAAATTTTGGTCAATATCAGGCACATATAGAACATCTGAGATTATTTTCATACCTGAGCTAGTTGAAATTACAATGGTTCCTTTTCCTTTTGCAGAAATATAGTCACCATTCTCAATTCTGACTTTTGAGTATTTTATAGGCTTCAAATCCTTGAAGAGAGTTTTATCGTATGTCATGTGGTTTGTACAACCACTATCAATCAACCATCATTCAGAACTACTCCTTGCTGAGAAGCATGTTGCCATAAAATTTTGATCTTCTTCATCTTGCTCTACAACCTTGGCATTAGCTTCATGTTGTTGAAATTTGCCTTTGCAAATTACAACTTCATGTCCAAGCTGATTGCACTTATTGCACTTTGTGTCTGGTCTTCTCCAACATTTGAACAGTGGGTGATCCATTTTGCCACCATGCTCACAAGGTGGGTAATTTTTCTTTTTACCTTTGTCTTTGCTTTGGCTACTTCCAACTTCATGATGCTTGGCTGGTAAAGCACCTTCAACCACGTGATCTTGTCTCATAAGCCTTCGCTGCTCTTGGGCCTGCAAGGCATGTAACACTCCTGCTAAGGTGATTTTGGACAGATCCTTCGTATTCTCCAAAGTAGTTATTGATGCTTCGTATCTCTCTGGCACTGTAACCAGAATTTTTTCCACAATTCTAGAATCAGTGAATTCAGTGCCGAGTAATCTAACCTTGTTCGCATTGGAAAGCAACCTGTCAGAGTATTCTTTGATTGTCTCAGAATCTTTCATTCTCTGCATCTCGAATTTCCTCATCAAGTTAAACACTTGCATGCCTCGAATCCTCTCATCCCCTGCGTATTCTTCCTTTAAGTAGTTCCAAATTGCTTTTGGTGTTTTAAGAGTCATGACTCTGGTGAAGATTATTGATGAAACACCAGTAAAGAGACATGATCTTTCCTTTGCCTTCTTGGTTTTTTTCTCCTTGTGCAATTTTATTCGAGCCATGGTAGGATTGTTCGGCAGCGGAGGAATTTCATAATCCTCTTCCACGACTTCCCAAAGGTCCAACGCCTCCAAATAAGACTCCATTTTAACTGCCCAAAGGTCATAGTTGTCTCCATCAAAGGTGGGCGGAGCAATTCATGAGAAGCTTGCTTCACCTTCCATTTTTACAGGTCTCGTAAGAAGAAAGCTGTGATACCAATTGTTGGTTTTATTATAGCAGAGAGATTGAGAAAATGGGAATTACTATATTTTTATTCATGACAGCGAAAACACTTATAGTGTTTTCAAAAGTAAAACTAATCACCACCACATTAGAAACATGGGGTAACTGACTAGACTGACTCCTAAAATTTAGGATCCACTAATTGACTAAAACAAAACTGAAACAATAATGATAAATAAAAAACTTAATGCAGTCCAAAAGCAAATAATTAACAAGAAACAAAGAATAGTTGCCCAATCAAACCCTGTAACAGAATTTAGAGATATAACACAAGGAATTTGTGATTGATTGTAGATTAAACAAATATTAAAAGATTTGAATATAAAATGTGAATGTGAAAGTGTTATAAAATTGTTTTGCGATAATAAATCTGGCCATTAATATTTCACATAATCTCATAGTTCATTCTAATAGAAATAAATCTAAAGATTTATCTGACATATCATCAAATAAAGGATTGATAAGTATAAGTTTCTTCCCTTATTTCAATATCTTCTTATATTGCACAAGTTATTGAAATAAATTAATTTTACTTTTGTATAAGAGTGTGCCTCTTCCTATTATCTAGTACAGCCCATATTTCTTTAAAAAAAAAAACAACTGAAAAGAAATTACAAACAACTGCAAGAAAATTTCAACTACTGCTTTTCCTTAATTGTTTTAGTTTTTCTTCTTCTTCAAATTTCATTTCAATACAAACAAAACATCATAATAAATAAATAAATCATGATAGTATTTTATTATGCTTTCACTTAATCTTCGACATAATAATGTCTCATCAAGTGATGAATACATAATCAACTCAAGAATCTGCATTACCATGATCCTCAATTTAAGCAGAGGTAATGTGGAAGTGATTAATTCCTAATAATAAACAAGTTCATGATCATCATGATGAGGTACAAAACAAGACAATAAATAAAGAATGATGCTTGATGTAGGAAAAGTTGACAGCTAACTAAAGCAACATCCTATACATGACCTCTTGTCTTGTTTTATTTTACATAATAACAATATAGTTAATGGTATGCATCACATTCTTTCTTGGTCAGAACCATGTGCATGGATTATAAAGTAATTGAGAAAACAGCTACCATATTTAAAGAAACCTTATTATAAATAGTATACTATAAAGTGCAATAATAAAGTTCCATGTAGACTGAATGATGCCTAGAATCCGTCCCTCAACTAAAAGTGATCGGTAAAATGATGAGGTAATGCTTTGTTGCAGGGGATTTAGTTTCTGATGCGGTGGAGAAGGGGCTAACCTAAAAGGTTAACATTTCAATGTATTATTAAAAATGTTTGACGTTATCGGATATTGAACTCTAGACTTCCCGCTCTTTAATATTTCTAAGTTGAACCTTTAAAGTTGTGGCGCCATGTGTCATGAAACAAATGGAATAACTTAAAATCAGTGCAATGAATTCCACTTAAAAGAGTGCAACTCTAATGATCATAGCCTCAAATATGGAGGTGTGGACAGTGCCATGAGATTCTGTTATACTTTCTTTTCTGCATCAACCATAATAGAAGTGTTCAGTGTCTTTAAGCAATCCTAAAGAGACATTGAAATGTGGTCCAAAAAGCAAATACATTATAAATTACATACCTTTGTTTTGATCTTGCAATTTGGCCATTTGTTTAATACATAAAGGTGGCTATGACTTCATTAAATTAGTACATAGGATATTAAAATTAAATCCTTGGTAAATACTATATATAATATTTATGTACATGATAATATATATAATGAAGTTTTGTCACCTCCACCACTAAGCCTTCAAAAATTAATGCATTTTAGTTTTTAAGGTAATATAAAATATGAAGTTTGCCACCTCAGAAAGACATTTCTTATACAATTGTTAAGGAAGTGGTTGTAATAGAACAAAGATTAATTATGTACGAAACACGAAAACAGACACACACAGATACAACACTGACATATATGTATTGTCACCGATAATAATTTAAAAAAATAAATAAATTGAATGTAATCAGAAGTGCCGGCGTCATGTCAACACTGACACACAGATACAAACACATCTTTTTTTCAGAAGAGTTGGGACTAGATAATTAATTATCATGTTAATGTCTAGTAGCTTGTAAGACAGCTGACTAGAAAAAGCATGATCTGTCAGATTCCTATTGGCTGTTAAAGAAAAGTGTGAATTAGAATGCAAGCAATTATAATATTTTTTAGCAGAAAATGAAATTCTTATAAAGAAATAAGAACCTGTCAAATGAAACACAAAGTAGGTTCCTTTCAAATGTCAACATGAGGTGTGTGTCTTATAGCTTTAAGGAAAATTATTTGGTGTAGTGACATTTGAATCATTTCTATCTGTCACTGTTTTTTTGTTATCTCATAATTCATTGTATAAAGAATCTATATGGAAGATACATTTCCCAAGATAGAAATCTTTACACAAAAGGAATTACCAACTTGTTTGCAAGAATCCAAGTATTTGGAAGATACAATTATAAGAAGAGGCTCTTACTCTCTCACTTCTTCACCACAAAACTTTTTCTGGTGTGCTTCAAATTCTACTTCAATGAAACAAGAGGTAGCACCTTTAGGTTTAACCACTTCTAATGTCTTTGCCTCAGATATAAAACATGCTTTTCTTCCTCTAAATCTTTTGGAAACTCTCCCGACAACGAGCGTAAATCCAGTGTTTGATGAGACAACAGAATCTATAGATTCTTCTTCTGATACACCGAAGTATCCGAATTTGAGTTTGTTTTTGCAGGAACCATCCATGCTATACTCATCAACATCACATATCAAAAGTAATGAAGTCATGCCAATAACTTCGAATCCAAGTTATCATGTACCGCAATTTGGCCTAACTCAGCATCAACAAAAGATTGGTTATAACAAGAGTTTCAATGAAAATTGGTTGAGTGTCACAAAGACTCAACCTTTGAAGTATAGTGGAAGAGGGAAGCTTTTCAAAGGGGTGAGGCAGAGACATTGGGGGAAATGGGTTGCTGAAATTAGGCTACCAAGAAACCGGACAAGGGTTTGGTTAGGGACATTTGACACAGCTGAAGATGCTGCAATTGCATATGATACAGCAGCATATATACTAAGAGGTGAATGTGCACAGTTGAATTTTCCTGATTTAAAGCATGTGATTCGAGCGAATTCGTTGAATGGAACAACTGCTTCACTTGTTGAGGCAAAACTTCAAGCAATATCACAACAAGGTAGTTCTTCTTCTGATAGAAAGCAAGGTGATTCACTAGCTAGATCAAATAGTAAGCATGTTGATAAGATTGAAAATGGAAAGGATGAAACTAGGAAGGAGTTGAAGATTGGAGGTGAGACAAATGAGAGAAGCAAAAGTATGCAGAATGAGATATGTGATGTGGAAACTGTTCAGTTAAGTAGAATGCCATCTTTAGATATGGATATCATTTGGAATGAACTTCTAGTTTCTGGTTCATGAACAACTTATTACTTTGAAAGAATACATATAATCAAAGTAGCACCAATCGGTCAGATGGATAGCGCATCCAATGTCCAACATGTGTGAGTGTCAGGCACTGACCCTGTCACAACACCGACAATGTAGTTATATTCAATAACTTTCATTTTCTCAATATTATTTGTGTGTACATGTGAATATCGTGTTTGATATTCATGTTTGTGTCGGTGCTTCATAGCATATAACCTTTTGTTTGTTTTACAATTGACACAGCCCTTATCAGATACATATAATTATATCCAATAACACTCATTTTCTTAATGTTATGTCTAGTGTCCGCGATTCTGCGATTATGATGGTGTTTCGTAGTATGTAAGCTTTTGTTTGATTTACAATTATTAGTATCTTTCATTTGTAGTACAGAAACTTTTATCAGTTAAAAAATTTATTCTAGACTAGGCAGTTCATAGGCCACACCTCAGAGTATATTAGCCTGAATCAAAATCAGAGTTTTATTTTTCTGTAATGATAATCATATTGAAATCAGTATCTTTTTAATTCCATTTGTTCAGAGGCTTATATGTTTGGAGTTTAAATATGAACATTTATTAATAATGCATAAGAGAAAGAAAATAATGGACATAGAGAGAATAGAGAGAATAAAATGTAACTAATTTTTTCAAAAATTCTGTTACAAGTTGTAATTAACTATTGGAGTATATATTAATGCAAATTACATACAATTGAAATTAAACTCAAATGCAAATTTACAATTTAAGATGTATTACATTTAATACCATCTTTTAATTTATATTCAAGTTTAAAAATTCACAACACCGGTTACATCCCTCAAATTGATGAAGTGTTAAGTTTTGATTGTCTTGATCAATACATCTGCAAGTTGCTTCTGAGTGCTGATATGAACAACCTCAAATACTCTATTCTGAACTTAATTGTGCACAAAATGGTACTTAGCATCAATTTACTTGCTTCTTCCATGTAGCACTGAATTCTTAGTAAGACTTATGGCAGATTTATTGTCAATCATCAATCTGACTGGTTTGCTCACCTTGAACTTTAGTTTCTGCAACAAATTCATCAACCAAATAGCCTAACAAGCTGACAAAGCACCAACTATGTATTCAGTTTTACAGGTTGATAATGCAACCACTGGTTGCTCCTTGGAACACCAAGAAATAAGGGCTCCTACATACATAAATATGTATCCTATAGTGCTTCTTCTGTCCACTTTGTCACCACACCAGTCAGAGCCTGAGTAGCATACTAATTGTTTCGGACTGAACCAATGGCTAGGCATTGCCCAATCCACTTCTACTCTCAGAACGACCCAATTGCCTAAATCCACCCAATTTAGGGGGGAGCATTTACCTTCCCCCCCCCCCCCCTTCCAACAGGGGAGGCTGACCAATTTACCCTTGGTCACATCGCTTCTGCTTGACAGTCCTTACCTGTCACGCACGGTTCCACCATCCAGAAACAGCCAGGACGCTTATACCCGTAACTGCGCCCCTGCTCGTAGCAATGACTAGTTATGGGCACCTCTGCCCGTTCCAACAGCTAGTTCTGATAGTTACCTATTCTTCGAGAAACAATTATCTCTCCCCGAAAATAGGAACCAATGGCCAAACGCTGGGGGCACTGTAAAAATCCTCTCACTTGAGAGGGTCAAGTATCCAATATTCACCCTGATATACTCATATTTTGTACTTGCTCTCTCTCTCTCTCTCTCTCTCTCTCTCTCTCTCTCTCTCTCTCTCTCTTGCCCGATTCTTACTTTAGCATCGGAGTGCCTTGCAAGTACACCCCCTCTTCCTCTCTCACACCCAGCATCACAAGCATTTGCCTCTGGCCCATTCTAGGTTCTGATCACCCGTTAAGATCAGTGGCGCCGTCTGTGGGAGACTTGTTATCCCCGTCTTTTCTCCTTTCGTAGACACGAGACCAAAACAGATCTTCAAAATCCTGATCATGGTCAGCCGTGATAACACTCTTGATGCTCGCAACTCTGCTTTCCTCCTCGTCAGCAAGATTGATGTTGACGGAGCAACCACCTCTCATGGCGGAGACATCCTCCGAAAAAGAGATGGAGCCACATCTTCTTTATCCCCTGTTCGCACAGATCACAATGAGGTCCCACTCGTCCCAGAGCACCTTCCAGATCTAGTTCCTCCCGGCGCCAACCCGGCTATGGAGGCCCTATTCAAGGTTCTCAACAAGATCAACTTCCTAATCCTTAATCAGAGCGCGAGGATTGGAGCCTTAGAAGAATCCAGCCGTCCAAGATCTCCTCCACCGCGGAAAGAACGTCAACAACCACAAAGCCCTCCTCCCCGGCATGAAAGAAACCGTCGGGCACCTCCAGAGCCAGAAATCCAGACCGTCGGAAACCACGATCACATCTCTCCTCGGAACCAGCATTCAGCGCAACACAAGAGGACCAGAAGAAGTCACAGGGCAGAATCCCTACGTTCGCCTCCGCCCAGATCCAAGGGCCGAGCACGAACCTCGTCTCTTCGTCGAGACCGCCATCCTACATACAGACGGGACGCCCGCTCCCCGTCTTGGACCAACAACAGTAGTGACGACGAGCCTTGCGGTCCGTTGTCCCATGAGATTATGGCCATGCATCTGCCGAAGGGACTAGAGAAACCCCTTATTTAGGCACATACGAGGGTACAATGGACCCCGACGAGCACATCGAAAATATCGATGCGCTACTCGATTATTGTAATGTCCAGGGCTCCATCAAATGCAGGTTATTCCCGACCACAATCAGAAAGGGGACAATGACCTATTACAAAAGACTCACCGACGATTCCATCACCTCATGGAGGCAGCTGAGGAGAATGTTCTCCAGACACTTCATGGCTCCCTGGTGCCATCCAAATACTGAAGCCTCCCTTGAGATCATTATTCAAGGGAGAGATGAACCCCTACGAGTCTACATCAAAAGGTTCAATAAGGAGGCCATCCAGGTCTCTACGATCGATGACATGAAAAAGTTTCTTTCAAACGCGGACTCCGTCCCCGCACTGAATTTGCTAAAGCTGTGGGCATCCCGCCCCCAACAATGTTGGACGCTTTCCTTCTCAAGGCACAAGCGTACATTCAGTACGAAGAGAATGAGGCCGCCAATTCTGCTAGAGATTCGAGGCACCGGGAGAATGCCCGATCCTCTAGGTCCGACGAGCCCTCGACATCTCGTCGAGGAAAAAGAATGCGCGAAGACCGTCCCCAAGAGCCCCGAAACAACAAAGGGCCCTCCGGCCGGTTCCACGGGTACACTCTCCTAATAGTCTCGAGGAAAAAGATCCTTTCTGAATGTACCAACTCAGAATTCCGACAGGCGGGGGTCCGGTTCCTGAAGTTGATACCATCCACACCAAACACGGACAAGTCGAAATATTGTGGGTTCCACAAGAGCCACAGCTATATGAAGGACGACTGCATCCACTTGAAGGATGCCATTGAAATACTCATTAGGGACGGACATTTGAAACAGTTTGTCAAACGAAAGGAAGCTCCTCGGTAAGACGCCCAGGAATCCAAGAAGGTTGAGGAAGAGGTACCTTCCTCCGAGGAAGCCAGCCTTCAGGTCACTATGAGCATCTTGCGGCCTGAAAATTTCTACATCCCCGAGGGGCTCAATGCCCCTCCATATTCGTTGTTCATAGCCCGTGGGAGACTTTCCCCTTCGCCATGGTCATCTCCGGAGGGGGCTTCAACAAAGTCACAGTAGGGTATTTCAAGAGAAAATTCGATCACCTTATCAACAACAACTCGAACCAGAACTCCGCACTCGATAGGGTCCGGGGAGAGTCTATTCCCATCTACTTCTACCGCGAGAAACTCCTCGGTGGATCCCCTATTGCCAACATCCCTCTGCTCGTAAGGGCCCATATGGTAAATTTTGACGTCCGACGAATCCTCGTCGACCAAGGCAGCTCAGTTGATATTATGTATTCCCAGCTATTTTCCACCCTCCAGTTGGACGAATCACATTTTACACATTACGTAGGCTCCGATCTGCAGGATTTCAATGGGTCGGTGACAAAGCCCTGGGGTTACATAGAGTTGATCGTAACTTTCGGGTTCGCTGAAACGGCCAGGTCAATCAAGGTCTAATTCCTGGTCATCAATTTCCCGTCGCTATACCAGTGCATCTTCGGTTGGTCAACTCTGGCCGAATTGGTGGTCGTACCCTCAACAGTGCACTTGAAGAGGAAATACTATACTTCGAAGGGTCTCGTGGCGACTCTTTACGGAGATATTGAAGCCGCGAGGAAATGTTTTAAAGCAGCCTCCAAGGGGCTGAATACCATCGTCGTCAAGCCGAAGACTCCTAGCCAGACTTCTTTGCCCAACAGCACCGAAGAGACGAAGCCGATGCCCCGCGTCGACTTTATCAACCTTGACAGTCGTTTCTTCGAAGACGACCAAAAGATTCAGAAGGCAAAGGGGAAGGAGATCAAGCCATCCTCGAGCAACCCCTCTAGTAACCACGAAACTGTCCATCTGATGCGTCTAAATTCGGATGGATATTTTGAACTTGTCTTACTCGGCGACGACCCCCAACGAGGAGTAAAGATTGTGATCGGTCTCCCCGAGCTAGCAAGGAAACAACTAAGAGTCTGCCTCCAGGAGAATGCATATCTGTTCACATGGAGCGCCGCGGAGATGCTCGGGCTAGACCCTGATGTGGCCTGTCACCACCTCAGTATTGATCCCACCATTAGGGCAGTAGCTCAACGTAGAGGCGAACTTTATCTCGGAAGCCAAGTACACCACTTGGTTATCCAATGTTGTACTCATGAAAAAGAATAATGAAAAATGGCAAACGTGCATTGACTATACCGATCTTTATAGGGTCTGCCAAAAAGACACATATCCCCTCCCCAACATAGATAAACTAGTTAATAATTCTGTCGGTTTTAAATTGTTATCTTTCATGGACGCATATTCGGGCTATAACCTAATACCCATGGAAAAAAGCGACAAAA